CAGGGGTCAGCAGCAGCTGCTAAACTATGATGACCCCCCCCCAGTAGAGGAGAGGGTGGGCATCGCACAGGAAGACTCCTCCAAGGCTGCTGAAGGGCAGAGAAGGGTCTGTGCCAATGCTCCCTCTAAGCTGTGGAGTCTTGTGAGCAAAAATTCTACTTTGTGAGCTACCGGCATTAAAGTTGTCAGCCAGCGATTTGGCTACTGCATAAATTAGTTTGCTCTGGAGCCCTCCTTCCTGAGCTGAGACAAAAATGTGTGAGCCAGAGGCTAAAAAACTGTGAGCTAGCTCACATTAACTCAGCTTAGAGGGAACACTGGTCTGTGCTGCAGGGTTCACTATCCGAAGGAAGAGGAGGAGAGGAGGCGGAGCTGTGCAGTGCAGCCTGGCTTATTTTAACTTGTATTTTCGCGGGCTCTTTGCTTACACCCAATGCTTTGTTTAGAGCAGCTTAGACCCGCCCACTATAGGCAGCTGAACCAATGATCTGACTCTGAGGCTGAACCTAGGCAGGGACTGGCTCCGTGGAGAAGGAAGATCCGTTCCTTTTTTGTCTATATTTGCCATAGGCAGGAATTTTTATTTCATTTTTTGCCACTCTTATTGTTGTTGTGGCGGAAGCAGCAGCAGCAGCAGACCCGCTGGCTCCCTCCCAGGGAACAACTTGCCGGGCTGGTCACATAGGGAGGGGGGAGGATATCGCCGCAGCCAATTCTTGGGAAAGGGGAGAATGCTGACCACGGCCAGAGATTTGTGGGGGTTGCTTGCAGCTGCTGCAGCCCTCCCCAGATCTCCCCCTTCTTTCCGGAGAAGATTTAAAAAAAATTAGCAGCAAAGGGAGGGGGGGGGCTGAAGGAAACAGCCAGTCCCCCCCCTCCCCTCCACCCCCCAGATTGCCTCCCAGAAGCCCGAACACGGCTTGCCAGAAGGAAAGGACACACAATTTGATCACCGCGATTGGGGAGGCAGGGGCAGCTTTGTCAGATGCTTCCCCCCCCCAACTGAAGTGAAACCGCTTATCTGATTGCGCCTCAGCACAGTCTAATATTGCCGCCCCCCTTTGCAGGTGCAAGTTCGTTCAGCTATATTAGAGGCTTATTGGCTGCGTGTCTAGCGAGCGAGCGAGCAGAGTCTGTGTCTGCCTCCCCGCGGGGCTCCGGAGCTCTTCCCCCCGCGCGCCGCGCGCGCACACAGAGACGGAGACACACTTCTCGTCGGGCGGCTACGAACCCTGAAGTGACAGCGACGACAGCCTCCGCTTCCCACCCCTCTCCCCTTCCTGCCAGTCTCGCATAGCGGGAGCAGCCACGGCAGCCGCTGTCATCCCGCCATGTGCCCCCAAGCAAGATCCCCCTTTGCTCTGGCTCTTCGTCTCACGGCCTCCGTGCTTCAGACGCCGCTGCAACAATTCCCCCGGCCAGGGACTGACGGGGCGGTGGGTGCCGCTAGCCTCGCTTCGCTTGCTCTCCCACAACAACGGCCTGCTAATCAGTGAGGCTCCATGCCTATTCCTGCCGCGGAAACACACAGCCGCCCGACAAGAAGTGTGTCTCCGTCTGTGTGTGCGCGCGTGGCGCGCGGGGGGAAGAGCTCCGAAGCCACAGCGGAGGTGGCGGCGAAGGGGAGGAGGGCGGCGCCATCGCCTTCTCGCGGCCAGGGCTCAGCTGGGGCGCCGGCCTGACCTTCCGAGGAGGGAGCCGCGGGGCTTCGGGTGGGGGGGAGGGGGAGCAGAGGCTCAGGGGAGGGGCCCGCCAAATCGGCAAGGGGCCGGGCCCCACGCAGGCTACGGGCCTGACCAGAACCGGAGTTTGAACCAGGCGCTGCTGTATGTCTTCTTGCAGGGGACAGTCTCCAGAGTGGGGTGATGTGTCATTTGGGGTAGTCTAAAGATTGTTTCGGGGTGCAGTGCAGCCTGGCCCCAGCATCTGCCTGTGTGATTTCCCTGGGGGCACTGCACTTTGGAGCAGCTGGCACAAGACCAGGAAACACCATACATTCTCTCAAAATGGAGAGTCCACTGAACATGGGGGTGTATGAAATGTGGCAGTCCAATCCTAATTTTGGGTGCAGAGGGCCCTTCATTATTCAAATCTTCTTTAAAATACAGGCCTCTTGGTGGTAACCCAAATAAAAGTTTGTGGTGCTGGAACCAGTCTTTCGACCAGGCACCACTATATGTCTTCTTGCAGGGGACAGTCTCCAGAGTATGGCGATGTCTTTTGGGATGGTCCAAAGATTGTTTTGGGGTACAACTTGGCCCAAGTGTCTGCCTGTGTGATTGTCCTAGGGGCACCCCACTTTGGAGCAGCTAGCACAAGAACTGTGATTTGGACCAGGAAACAGGACATATTGTCTTGAAGAGGAGAGTCCTGTGAACCTGGGGGATGTATGAGGCGCGGTGGTCCAGACCTTATTTTGGGGTTCAGAGCTTTCAAACTCTCCTCAGTGTTTTTGGATGAATTCATGAATAAGTCATGAATCAAGAACAAAATAAGGAATGGGGAATAAGGAACCAACCAGCCTCGTTTGCCAGGGCCCCACAGAGATTCCCGTCTCTTTTAGCCCGTTGTTGCTCATTTTCAAGCATCTCCTTGCTGTTTGTGAGGCCTGCAGATGTAACAGGAATCCCCCTGCGGCCTTGCAGCTTGAGTGCCATCTGCTGCAGGGGCTTCTGAAGTAGGCCTTGGTCTCCGGCAGTCGGTGGTAACAGGCGTAGTTTTTGGCAAGCTTTTTGTCATCTTCAGATTAGGGCAATCACATTGGGGTAGCCTAGAGAAGCCTGAATAGGTCATGCCGGTTCCTCTTGAACCCCATCCAGCACCAACGATACGGAGGGCGTTCAGCTCCTCAGCCGAAGAAAGCCCTCACTGCCTCCTTGTTGGTGTGCCCAAATATGAGCGAAGAGAATCCTAAAATGGCCGCCGCTGTTGAAGACAGCCTCTGTATATAACATTGTTGTTCTTCTCCATAAAGGGTTAGAATATAGGGAAGAACAGTAATATAGGAGGTATATAGAAGCAGTTAAGACAGAAGATATATGAGGTTGGATAAGGAAATTAGAGTTTTTAGAGAAACGCAAAGCGTAATCTAACTTGCACTCCCTGTTGAGGCAGGAAAAGAACTGAATAGGACGACTCCCACAGGCAAGACTGTTCCTGCCTCCCTGATTGGATGGCGGGAATCACCCAGCAAGATGTCCTCTGCCTCAGAGGGAGAATCTCTTTCCGGATAAACGTAGACTTGTCACCTTGTGTAAAAAGCCATTCGGAAGCATCACGTTTATACACAGAGACAAAAAGTGTTTGCTTATTTTCAGCTAAACCGGGAAACTTCCCCACCTTGGGTAAAGGACATAAACCCCTCCTTTTTAGCCAATACAGAACGGAGTCATGGGGATATCTGGTTCAATACAGTGACCAAGAGCAGACTCGTTAGGCGTTTTAACTGGCACATTTCTCACCTAGGTCGTGCTGAATTCTTATCATGGAGCTCCCTTTCCACATACGCCAGACACTAAGTCAGACCACTGATCTATCAGGGTCAGTATTCTAGGCTCTCCAGGATCTCAGGTAGAGGGGGGTGTTGTGTGTGTGTTTAGATCTCCCCCTCCTACCTGATCATTTTTACTTCAGATGCTGGGGGTTGAACCTGGTACCACTGAGAGATGCCCCCCCCACACACTCAGAAACAGAAACTTACATGATTGAGCGGATTTTGGCTTCTGCAGTCCTGTTATAAAAGAGAATGAGGGCTTCCTTCTCTTCTTGTTTCTGCAGAAAGACATTTAAAAGACTGGTCGGCAGTGTTCATCAGGGTGCTGCAATGGCAGCTCAGACAAATATTTCTCATCGGTGAGAAGCCCCGGAGCCTGCCCCTCCTCACCCATCTAGCAGAAATTAATACTATCTGACCAACTTCCCCCTTTTCTTTTTGGAGTAGCAAGCTGTTGCATGCCTGCTGCCACCACCAAGATACCTAGCATCAGGAAGCAGATGGAGCATTACCAAAAGTTCCATGATGTTTGAAGACTACCGGCAGAATCCCTGATCCTCCTCCTCCTCCTCAAATAGTTCCCACTGATACCTTGTCCAAGTCCCATATCCCCAAAATACGCCAGTTGACTGAAAAGTAGTCCAAGACAACCATTTTTCACAGTCACAGGTCTGTAATTTGAAGAATTATTTTCTAACTCCAGCAACTACATCAAGTTTTCTTTTCCAAACTTACAGAATTTGTTTGGGTCAAGAATCCACAGGGCCTTTGTTAAAGGTGAAGGGAACCACAATGTGAAAGTCAGAAGCATTGCTGGGAACTTTAGGCAAGCTTAGCAGAAAAGAGCATTTCCACTCTGGCTAAATGTGGAGTTTTCTTTAATGACGCTTTTTACCCCCAATTGTAGCCGAGATCTACTTTGTGTGATAGATTCTGAACCAAAGAAACACATTTAACAGTGCACAGCTAAAATACTTGGGTATGTGAACACAACACATGCAAGTATTCTCATCACGGAGCTGCAACTCGTTTCAGGTCTCTGACAAGTACAAGCTTGGGGGCAAACCCAGGCTTGCCTTTGCACATTGTGAGAAATGGCAATGACTTATGGTCTTGTGCCTTTTCTCATTTTAAAGATTACCTTGGAATCGATACGCTTTATCCTTAGAGAGACTCAAAACTCTAGCGGAGATAGATGACAGTTGAGATTAGTCCCAGTTGATTCCAAGTAGGTGCCTCGGCGCTCACCCTAACCATTCCCCCTCACCCCCACAAACATACTGGACTGCACAGCCAACCCCAGTTTTAAAATGGTTCCTATCAGCCACCTGGGACCAGCAGCAAACCAGTGCAGAAGAAACCTTCCTCACCCAACCCTTACATACTGGTCATTGGGTCCCTGCCAACAAAGCACTCCTTCTGACTCACACTCTTGTAGCCCCTCGCCATTCGCTTTGCAGCTGCTGCCAGTTCAGCCTTGGTCCTTGCATTGATGCCTTCCGGTGCCGCCACCACCACCACTCTGCGCTGCTTTGCAGGGAGCTGGGAAAGCACTTCTGTCTTCAGGCGGCGGATCATGATGGATTCCTCCAGGAGAAGCTTCAGCTCACCAAGATTGGATGATCCAGAATAGTCCCATCCCCACGGCCTCTAGGTAAGTGACAACATCATTAAAGTGAAGCACAAGAGTTACAGGACGTCTATCCAGTGGTAATCCTCATGTGCAGAGAAACATGAAGATACCTGTTGGGGTCAAAATCTAACTGCCACAGGCTCAACTTTTTGGTGAACAGTCCTTTGGTGCCAGCAACATTCCTGTTCTTTCCCAATAATTTTTTTTGGCTTTGCTCCCCTTTGCCTTGCCCAACTCCCCACCCTCACTCATGCTTTACTCCTGAAGCGCCAATATTCCAAATTCAATGTCCAAAGCTACAATATTTGAATCAGGACCACAGGAGAAGGAATCCCCGCTTTCTCCCCTGTGCTGGTTTTTTTCCCCTTGTCGCTGAAAACAGCCTCAGAGCCATGGGGGGGGCTGTTATTTTCTCTGTGAGGAGCCAGCATGTGCAGCTGTTCCTATCCAAACCAGGCCCTGCTGCGCATTTACTCATGAGCTGCAAATCCCCATGGTGGACTCATGCAGTTTGTATGAGCTTGGAATTGAAGCTTCTGCCCTGGCCCAGATGGCCCAGGCTGGCCTAGTCTTGTCAGGTTCTGGAAGCTAAATTGGGTTGGCCCTGGTCAGTACTTGATGGGAGACCATCAAGAATTCTAGGGTTGCTATGCAGAGGCAGGCAATGGCAAACCACCCGTCAAGTCTCTTGCCTTGAATACTCTACAGGGTTGCCATGAGTAGGCTGCAAGTTGAGGGCACTTCACACACACAACTGAAGCTGCTGACCGGTCTTTGAGAGCAGCCACACATGGAACCTATTACAAATAGTCCAGTCTTGAGGTTACAGTAACATGAATCAATACAGTGAGGTAAGATGAGTCTAAGTAGCAGACAGTTCCCTTGCAGGAGGTAACCAAGAGTGCTCCAGGACTGGAGAAGGAGGGAGAGAAACTCCTCCTAGACTGAAAATGCCACACCCTACCTACTTTTGTCCATTGGCACACATAATGTTCCTTTCTCAGTCTGCTAGAACACACACATGCCCTGGAGTCCAGCAATTTAAAAAAAAAAATCAAATTCAAGAAGCTGCAATTTTCTGAGTCGAGATGTTAAAGCCTTTCAGCTGAAGCAGTTATTTCACTGTATCTTTAAGAGAAGCTCCTGAAACTTCACAAAATTGAGCATCTGTGCCAATCTCAGTGCATTTTCCCATCTTAACATTCATTACAAATATCAACTGCTTAGAAAAAAGGCTTCGGAGCATCTACTTTGCAAAATATAGTCAATAAATAAAAACAGGTGACACCTGTTTGGTGTAGTGGTTAAGTGCGCGGACTCTAATCTGGGAGAACTGGGTTTGATTCCCCACTCCTCCACTTGCACCTGGCTGGACGACCTTGGGCAAGCCGTAGTTCTGATAAGAGCTGTCCTTGAAAAAGAGCAGTTTCTGTCAAGAGCTCTCTCAGCCCCACCTACCTCACAGGGTGTCTGTTGTGGGGAGGGGAAGGGAAAGGAGTTTGTAAGCCGCTCTGAGACACCTTTGGGTTGTGAAGGGCGGAGCATAAATCCAATCTCTTCTTCTTTTTCTTCATTTGTTGCGAGTTTTTATGAGCCAGAAGTGCCAAGCACTTGGATTCTATACCAATAAACTAATTCCATATATTTACTTATTGCATCTGCCAGAGATTTGTGGGTTTCTACCACCAAGCAGAATCAATTCCTTTTAGAGCCAGTTTGGTGTAGCGGCTGAGTGCGCGGACTCTAATCTGGGAGAGCGGGTTTGATTCCCCACTCCTCCACTTGCACCTGGCTGGATGACCTTGGGCAAGCCATAGTTCTGATAAGAGCTATCCTTGAAAAAGAGCAGTTTCTGTCAGAGCTCTCTCAACCCCACCTACCTCACAGGGTGTCTGTTGTGGGGAGGGGAAGGGAAAGCCGCTCTGAGACACCTTTGGGTAGTGAAGGGCAGGGCATAAATCCAGTCTCTTCTCTTCTTAGATGGAGAATTTCAGATTCTTTTTTATAACTGAGGGCTCAGGCTTGAGAATTTTGTTCAACCAAGAAAATACAATTGATTTTCAAAAGGCCCCCACTTACACCATAGTAGTTTCTATTTTTACAGATTCTAGATTCCCATACCAGCGATTCTCCTGGGAAATGTTTCCACGCCAACCCAGTTATCGCCTCCCCTCTCCACTGTTTTCCCCCATGCTCAAAGGCTGCAGTCATAATACAGACTTTTCTCTGTTCTGGCTTCCAATCTGCAGCACTTTTTTGGGAGTATCCACATGCCATAATCGCACTCCAGTAGTCCTTTCCCCATCCTCAATATGCTATTTCCAAAGCTTGTGTTACTCCAATCTTATTGGGAAAAGTGAAGTGCAGATGCATTATCACACTGCTTGGTTAGGAAGTTGTGCATTTTCAAATGTCTCACCCATATCAGTGCCATTTTCCTGCTCTCCACCCCTCCAGCTTAACATTTTCGTCACCATTAGAGGACTTTAAAAAATACACACACATATGGAGGTGCTACAGTGGTGTAATACTAGTGGCATGGTGCAGAAAAGTACAGGGGAAATGATGTCTGATGGAAAGAAGTGTGCAGAAAACTCCTGTGTGAAAGCTCCATAGGGAAATACATGTTTCTGCATTTGCAGCACCAATGGATGCACAATACAGGAATCCTACCATGAGAAAAGCTCTGCTGGGAGAGGGAATTTGTAGGAGAGAAATAGCCATGGGGGGGGGACATTTAAATCTTATGTCTTAAGAACTTCTCCCCCAGTGGGGCTCATGACCAAATGAACACCTGCTCTGTGTGTGTGTGTGGGGGGGGGAGAACAGTCTTTGGGTAGAATTGGGAAGGGTCAAGCACCCCCACTGTTGCCTGCCATTTCAACCCTACAGACATCTCTTCCTCCAGCTCGTCTTTAGTAAAGGTAAAGGTTTCCCTTGCTCAAAAGCCAGTCGAATCTGACTCTAGGGTGACCAGCTGAGCTCTGAGCAGGAGAGAGAGCTGTGAGAGAGGTGAGTGGGTTTCTTTTACTTGCTTTTGCTTTCAAGAATTCAGCTAAGGATATTTTGTGGGAAAACTGTGTTTAGCAGTGTGTGGAAGCACTTAGAGTTCTTGCAGAGTCCTGGCTGATTGAGTGTGGGAGAGGAACGGGCACTGTTTGACTGGGATTGCCTGTAATTGAGAGGAAGTGGAAGGGGCATTGTTTTGCCTGTGATTGAGTGCCTGGGTGAATTTGAATTTGAATAGCTGCTGCCTGACCTCTGCTGGGGGAGGCCTCTATTTAAGGAAACACCTTGCCAGGGCGAGCTAAAGGGCTCTTTGCCTGTGGCTCTTAGCCTAGGGACTCTTAGACTAGGGGCTCTGTAAGAAGCCCAAAAAGAGCCAGAAAGACAAGGCCCTAGGCTCTTTGTCTTTCCCGTAAAATAATTTGACTTTGATAACAAAAACCACATAAATACCAAGGGTTTAAAAGGGGGATTATATTTATTTATTTTAAAAGAATTATGAAGCCAGAATGCCAGC